GTAGGACTGGGTTCCACAATACCCCTTCCTCGCACCATGGTTGGAAGCCCAAATTTGTGTTCATTTGTACTGCCCATAGGGAGGGGTCTCCCTTTACGGCTGTGGGGGGCGATTCTTTCAACAAACACAACACTGGTGAGTTGGGCCCTTTTGATGACGTTGTCCACGCTTACATCAAATATGGGGATCTCGACATCAAGCGATTTGTGACCCCTGGAAAGATGAAGAAGGATTTGGGTTTTTCCTTTTCACTGACGCTCCGACGGAGGATCATGGGGCTACTAAGGATGCAGGAGTACCCCAGGATGAGAATGATATTGATGAGCGGGCTGCTGTCTAGGAAGAGGCTGATTTAGCCAAAGCCATGGCAGCATCTCTCGGAATGGGGCAAGGAGGTTCTGTCGCTGCTCCCACCGCTTCTGAGGTACTCAGGCCTCAGTCTTCTGGTGAAGAAAGGGCATTTGCCCATATGTCCCCTCCCAGGTTTGAATCAATACTTTGGGGGAGGGGATGAGGAGCCTGTCCTGGAGAGGAGGAAAAGGTGGGAGGATGTGTCCTCTGCAGCTGCTACTGCAAGTGGGGTGGACCCTGCCAAAGTTGAGGCTTCCACCCCTGTACAATCTTCTGCCACCCCTTCAGGTATTCTTATATTAATTGGCTGTATGTATCATGTTTTTCTTGTGGCGTTGACTTATACTTTGCATTCTTCCTGTTCCTTATTGTGTTGACTATTTTCTCGCAGGCGGTTCTAACATTTTTTACCTCCTTGACCGGGCACAGGGTGGTGTGGGGAGGAAGACTCAACCCTCCTAGGGAGTCAAATATACTAAGCCCTCCCCTAGCGTCTCCTCGTCCTCCTATGAGGGTGTTGATGAAGATGATGTTGTTGTTGGTTATGGGGGCGCCCAACAAGATAATGCCGCGGTCCAAGAGGATGTCACCACAGGTACTCCTAATGTCGCGACATCTCGTGATGAAGTCATGGGCAAGCCCAATGTTGCGGCCCATGCGGGGACTACCGGGGCCACTCCTACACCTGATGTGCTCATTGAGGATACCCCAAATGAAGGTGGTGAGGGTGATGATGAAGAGACCATCCAGCAGCTTTAGAGCCGCCTACATTCGGATACCCCGGGGCCCAGCGGTACTGCCTCGGCGGGTAAAGGCGGTGGTCCACCACATGAGTCCACGAGTGGGCGGAGGACCGGAGGTTTCAATTCTATGTGAGTGATGGTGAGGGCTTCGTATTTGAAACCATCGATGCCATGGATCTGCTGACTACGATCCACCTCCCCTACGATGATGTCGTGATGAAGGGGATGAATTTTAGGCGTTGCCAGCGAGCTCACTTCAAGCTCCTTGAAGATAGGCCCCGACATTGTAGTTTCCTTGTATGTTTTAATTTCTGCCCTTCTGTTTCACTTATCGTATCTCGTTATTTTCTGTCTTAGGCTGCCATTCTGGGTCATGAATTGGCCCTCAGGGTCGATGCAGCTGAGCTATGTGCCAAGAGAGATGCGAGGAGGGAGGGGAATGTCCTCCACAGCAGTCATGTGACTAAACAAGCTTTGGAGGCCTCTCAAAGGCAGGCTGATGAGTTCCAGAAAAGGGCTTTGGGTGCCGAGGCTCAGGTCTCCCTTCTCGAGGCTCAGCTTAAGGAGTGCCAAGCTCAGTTTGCGGTACTCAAGAAATTTGCGGATGAGGTCATCGTGGCCTTGGACGAGGCAGAGGAGAGGACACGTGTCCAATCCGTTCTAACAAACTAACAGAGTGAGTCAATAGGGTGCCGCTATGTGTAAAGGTGATTGAAGAGATAACAGGGATAACTGGCTGATTGGGATTGATCCTGACAAACTACTGCCCGAATGTACGCATGGTTACATACTTACATGTGTATGGTCCGGGGTATTCTTTATGTCCGCCGCTAAGAGTGATGTGGCCTCCTTCAGAAGTAATGATGATGTGGCAGAAATCTTGTGTGATGTCTGTTCCCGCATTTTTGTCCTAGTCCATGATGCTTTAGTTAGACCTCGAGCTTACAGAGGTCATTATTTGGATGCTCGGGCTCATCACTAGGGTCTTCTGTCCTTGGTTCTGTCTTGAGGTTGTTGACTTCTCTGTTTGACTTCGGTTGACCCTTGCGTCAGTGCTCGGGAACAGAGTTGGTACCGAGCTCGGTGCATTCGAGGTCGGTCTCATAACTCGTCGTGTCCGAGAGGTTCCCTAGCTCGGTATTTCTGTTGACCTCGGGGGCCGAGGTCGGGGTCGGCTAGCCTTTGGTCCTTTGTTGTTTCGTCATCCAGTGCTTTGGCCCGACCTTGGTGACTCGGGGTCCGGGTCGGCCCCAGTTGGTAACTTAGAACTTTGATCATCCTGAGGTGCCTTTGTTCAGTTCTTTAGTCAACGATTATGATACCCCTGGGGTATATGGGGATATACTCCATCAATTCTATTATTATTACTATTAATTATTATTATTATGATCATCATCATCATCATTATCATCATCATCATCATCATTATTATTAGAGTTTTTGTCTTAAATAGGACTAAACAAAGGGTTAAATTCCAAAATAGGAGTAGGTATAATTTTTATTCCCAGATAGGACCATTGTTACCATTTTACCCCTCCTACCTACTGCCTATTCTAATCGTGCGGCACCCGTCTTCTTCCCCCATCTTCCGCACAGCGAGCCATCCACACCAGAGAGCCTTCTCTCGTTTTCATATCCAACAAAAAGCTGGGCGACGATGGTGATTGATGACGATCCAAGGTGAGCAACAGCGAGCGGCGGTGATGAGCGGCGATGACTAGCGAAAGAGTAATGATGAGTAGCGACTTTATTTCTAATCCGGTGGTGAGATTCATGCTCGTTATTCTCTCCTGTGTCTTCCTTCTTCTTCTTTGTTCGTTCCTCGTTTATCAGTCTTTTATTTCTCTCTTTCTTCTTCCTTTGTTTCATCTATTTCTTTTTGTTTGTTCAAAATGCCAAGGTAGATCTAAAAATGTCATCAAAATGGCATTCGTACTCTATCAAAATTTCGTATTTTCCATTGAAAATGCCATTAAGATGGCATTCCCAATCCATGTTTGGCATTCTAACTAAAATGTTGGCATCAACGACGGTGAAGGCTGGATCTGCATCGGCTGAGGCCGGATTTGCGGAGGCAGCGGCCGGATCCACAGAGCTGGTTGCTGGCGAGTCGGTGATTGCCCGATCTACGTCGGAGATGGCCAAATTTGTACCGGTGGTGGTCAGTTATGTAGCGGTGGCGGCCGGATCTACTACGACGGTCAGTTTTGAGGCGGTGGCGTTCGCCGTCGGCGACAAGAGACCGGCGGCAGTGCGTACTGTTGGTGGTCGGCGTACTGTTGGTGGTTGCATGTTCCCAAGCTTCAGGGGTGTTTTTGTCTGAGTACAATTAATAACTCTTATTTAGGGGATTTTTCACTTTTAGTCCTGTTTTGATAATTAAAGACGTATTTACTCCTATTTGGGTGAATCCCTCTTATTATTAATGTTGAGAACTCATATGAAATAAGGTATGATAATTATTTAAGTTCAAAGTTATCCACAAATGAGTTTGTAGTTGAATGAGGTAGGTTATCCTTACGTATTTAGTGAGTGTTTGCAATAGCTTAAAAACGCTTCTCGGCTTTTGGCTTAAAAAGCTAAAATCAGTGTTTTCAAGTGACATCTTCTACTTAAAAAAGCGCTTCCCGGCTTTTGGATGAAAAGTGTTTTCTACCTTTTCTATTACACAAAAGCACTTATTTTACCAAACTCTACCAACTTTTACTTTTCAAAATCACTTTTTTCTCAAACACGATCAACTTTCACTATTTATCACTTTTTCCAAAATCACTTCAAAAAGTGTTTTTTTAAACAAAAACATTTGCAAACACTCCCTTAACAGTGCAACCCAGGTTCGAATACCCCTTTGAACCTAAATTTGGCTTCAAATTCATTTGTACCACACCCGTTACTTAGAAGAATATAGTTTTACCACGACTCAATAAATAAGATCTCCCCCCTTCTCCAGTAATGGGAGGCCACAAAGAAACCCTTGCTAGTAGCTTCGAGCCGAACTCGAGCAGTTTTCGAGCCTAGGGTAAATACACTGAGCCGAACTCAAGCATTAAATCTAGAGCTTGAGCCGAACTCAGGCATGACAAATATTTTCGAGCTCAAGCCTATGTAAGTTCGTGCTCGACTCGGCTTGTTTGCACCATTACGTATGTCTCATATCGGATGTATCTATTCATTTCCCTACATCCATTTAAATAGAGTGAAGTGATATAAATCATATTCATTTCTCCTGCTCGTGTCTCATATCACATGTATCTATTCATTTCCGATGTATCTATTCATTTCCGGACATCCATTTAAATAAAATGAAGTGATATGAATCATACTCATTTCCCAACATCCATGAAATTACTAAAGAAATACTAGTATGAATCAAAATGGGATAAAAAAAGTCTTAGAGCATTTTCATTCATGATCTCTACTAATCAATTTTTTTTTATGATTCTTACCATTTAAATATTGTCATTTAATTAATTATAAAATAATCTCAAATTTCGTTTATGTCTCTCACTCATCATCTTCAAATAATATGTTCTTTCTCTGTCCTGCATTAATTTCTATTACATATACTTTTCAAATAATCTTAAAATAATCGAGATTCATATTTTGATCCCAGATTATTGTAGCAAATAATCCCATTAAACAATCTATATCACTCAATGATAATTCCCTAAAACACAGCATGTCACCAATTTAATCTCATAATAATACTCGGAATGAGGATGCCCTTATAGGGAGTAAAACATAGATCTGATATTATAAATGAACTTATAAAACCGTAATTTCCCCTGCACGAATGAAAAAATTTAGCAAGTGAACTGGTTCTCCTAAGTTAACGCTACCAAATTGGTACCTATATTCACTCCACAACCGCCGGATACGTGTAAGTACGTAGTATAAAGTTTAGCACCACGCTTGCCTTTTTTTTGAACTCCGAAACGTTCGCCTTGCTTCCCATCACATTCGACTGCAATCCCCGCCAACTACACGCGAGACCAGAGCATTTTCTCTCTCTGAGCTGCCTCAGCTCAACTCACTTCTCTCTTCATTCTCCACAGGAGAGTCGCTTCGAGCTATTCATTACTATTTGCTGATCGGACCGCAATATCTCTCCAGTTATGACCGTGCTAAATCATCGACCGTTGAATGTGAGTCGCTGTGCACAACTTTCCCGCGGATAATTTGCATGTCTATTCTTACTTCATATGTACGCTGCATTTTATTGGAGAATGGTACATGTACTACTTGCTATGGTTGTTATGCGCGAGTGTGTACTTACACATATTCAGTTATTCACAATGGGGGGAGGGGATGCCGGGGTGCGGAGGTGGTGACGTTGACCAGGCTAGGGTTTATTTTGAAGGATGCGATGATTAGGCTACAGGAATGTATTTAACGTGCATAAAAACTGTCAGGAGTCCAGAAACAGCGGTTAGGGCTGTAGTTTTACTGGACTGATACCTGGCCACACGGTTCTTCTTCATTTAGTTGCCTATGAATTTATGCTTCGATGTTTTCTGACGTTATGATTGCTTGGAAATTCTAAAAGCAGGGTGAGGAGATGCTTGTGCCTGACTCTGATGTGGTGGAGCGTCCTCGGCCAGTAGTTCAAGGTCCTCAGCCTATGGAAGGTCATATACTCTTGAGTCTTCACAGTCCCAGATCATCTCTCTTCCTGCATATATGTACATATGTGTAATATTCAGCTTGAGGGGGATGGATCTCCTTCAGCAGGAAGTCCAATTTATATGTTGGAAGTTGGAACTTGATACTTTTAACATGTTGCTCATTTGTTTTTCTATTGTTTTGGTTTGATTAACAGTAGGTCCAACGTGCGCTGTTAATTCAGTGGAAAATCAAGCAGTAGATGAGCCAAAAGCTTCACGTTTCACATGGACAATTCCAGATTTCTGTAGACTCAATGTGAAGAAGCACTACTCAGAAGTTTTTAGTGTAGGTGATTACAAATGGTAAGAAGTGACCAATCTGTTTGGGCGGTTTTCTGTTGCAGAACTGGATATTTAGTGGATAGCATTGGTTTTTGCAGCCGGGTGCTTATATTTCCAAAAGGAAACAATGTGGAGTGCTTGTCAATGTATTTGGATGTGGCAGAATCAGCTAATTTGGCACATGGATCGAATAGACATGCCCAATTCAGCTTATCAGTTGTGAATCAGCTTAATGACAAGTACACGGTTAAAAAGGGTAATGTCTAGTGCCACCTCATTTACTTCTTTTATGTACTTAGATAGTCTCTCTAATTTGTGTACTATTATTCATGATACAACTCATACACATATATATTTATTTTTCATGCTCCCTGTTATTGCATTTCTCAGATGAATCCTTGATGTTTGCACATTTACCATGATACCAGTATGCCACTGATCATCAAGATGTATTCCTTGTTCCCAGGCTGTATTCTTTTTAGGCCTCTTGTTACGTATTTGTGGAGAATCATTCAGGATATGCATATTGATATTATAATATCAAAGTTGTAATTAAAATGACCAGAACAACTATCTCAATTTATCATTTTCTCGTGACTTTTTCCATGCTAGCGGAAATAACCCATGCATATGTTGTTAGTAGTTTTAGAATTTCATCATATCATTCATGTGTTAACTTAGATAAATAAAATTGGCAGTTCACATTTGATGACAGCTAGTCCAATTAGTTAGAATTAAGGTGCTGGTGATGATTATGAACTAATTAGTCCTTTTCTCATCATGCATTCAGCTGAAAATTTATTGGGTAACACACAATTACTCCCTCAACTTTTTTCCAAACTACCAAGCGAACTTTAATGAATGATGATTCACATAAATACTGACCAAACATAACAACTAAAGGTGTGGTTATTGACAGAAAGCGAAACACCAACAAAAGTTGAATATGTCTATACTCTTTTATATCTTATTAATCTATAGTGTTCAAAATTCCTTAGGTAAAAATATAATCATATCAATCATATAATAATGGGTATACTTGCTAACTCTCTATTATTGGGCTTAATATATCACACACATACATCTACATATCCATAAGTATATGTGTGTCTGTATACAATTGAAAGTTATTTTATTTCAGGAAACTCAAATGGATTTAACAAGGGGATAACTATCAGTACATTTTACTTTTATATTTCCAGATGTAAACTTAATCGCGTAATTGCTATGCTTTAAGCCCCACGATGGTTTGCTCAATAATTATGTGAATTATAAGGGTCTGAATTGTAGTTCTCCAAAACATCAAGGTGTGAATGGAATTTATAGGTAACTACATAGTATTTTTTAGGAATGTCACTGCATGTGGCTTGTGTCCAGAATTCCAGATAAACTAAAATCTTTTGGATGTTTACATTCATTTGTACCTATGCTGTGCTGCCAATGGATGGATTTACTAGTCAGTCAATATTGTATGTCTCCCTTAGCTTTTATCCTTATCTCTTCTTGCCTGATACTGTAATAGTATTATGATACTAATAATAAAATGTTTCGAAATAACTATTTAGAACATATAGAGACAAATAAGTCCAAAAGAACAATTTTGTTGCTTGTGTTGGAAGGCTGGATTAGTGATTTAGTGCAAATGTGTTCTAACATTTCTCTTTCCTTAAATTAATAATCATATTACCATTGAAATGTCCACGTTCACATCATTTGCACATTGACAGTATCACGAAGGAAGCTGATGCAGCTTAACTCTTTCATGTTCCTTAAACATAGTTTAATAGCTAAGTACCCGTGAGTGGGTTCATGTCAATTGTTTATGTTCTTTATTTCATGTAGATCGTAGACTAAACTTAAAAGGTGACTGATTTCTGATCTCCGGTTAAGCATTACATTGGAAAATGGAAATGGTAGAAAATGAAAATGGTAAATTAAATATATTTCAAACGTTCCGTTATTGGTTAGAATAGCTTCTAATTGGCAGAAATAATTATTAGTTGTGCAGCTTCTCAAGGAAGCTTGATTGAATTTTAAGGCACAAATCATTTACATTCAGCTATGTATTTGTACCGTCGTTTGACTTTAGATGCTTGGACATGAGCATTGACCCAAGCGGCGGAAGCAGGAATTGCCGACTGGAGGGGTGGTAGTGTAAAACTATACATACCATAATTTTTAAGTAATTATACCTACATGAAAAAAATTTGTGAGGGCGGCGGTCCCCACTTGCCTCCCCTTTGTGTCCGCCGTTGCATGACCCTAAGTTATTTATTTAAAGACAAGGCACTTGTAAGTTGCAACGTGCAAATGTGCATGGAAATCGAAACCAGGTAGCAAGAGAAACGAATATTCTCCTTCTCGCTGTGACCATTTTATAAAGACAATTGCTATGGTCATTTTTTCATGATTGTTTCTTTTTGATACTATTATTATACTATGCAGAAGCAGTACACCAATTCATCCAAGGCGAGAGCGATTGGGGCTTTACATCATTTATGCCTCTTTGGGATCTTTATGACCCTTGCAAGGGATACCTTGTGAACGATACAGTTGTGATTGAAGCTGATGTTGCTGTAAGGAAGGTAGTTGATTATTGGTCATATGACTCAAAGAAGGAGACTGGTTTTGTTGGGCTTAAGAACCAGGGAGCAACTTGTTACATGAATTCTCTCCTGCAAACTCTTTACCATATTCCCTACTTTCGGAAGGTCAGATCATGATCTTATTTTTTTTACCAGGCATATCCTTTTTTTACTGATTTTTGGAGTGGAGTGCTTTTCATTTGTGAGCGTTCTATCAGGCTGTCTATCGCATGCCAACTACAGAGAATGGTATATCTCTGGCGCTGCAGAGTTTGTTTTACAAGCTCCAGTATAGTGATACCAGTGTGGCAACTAAAGAATTGACAAAATCATTTGGATGGGACACACATGAATCATTCATGCAGCATGATGTGCAAGAGTTCAACAGAGTGCTGTGTGAAAAGATTGAATACAAGATGAAGGCATGATTTTTTTGTTAAATAAATAAGATCATAATCAATATACTTCTGGTCTAATACTTTGCAATTGAATGTGGTGGTCTAGGGTACTGTTGTAGAAGGGACAATCCAGAAGTTGTTTGAAGGGCACCTTATGAATTACATTGAATGCATAGATGTAGACTTCAAATCAACAAGAAAAGAGTCATTTTATGGTATTGCATTTTGGAATCTCAAGTTGACCATGAGGATCCTTGATGCTGTCCATGCACTTACTTTAATATGCATTCTTGTAGATCTTCAGCTTGATGTCAAAGGCTGCCAGGATGTCTATGCTTCGTTTGACAAATTTGTTGAGGTTGATCGCCTTGAAGGTGCTAACAAGTACCATGCTGAAAAACATGGTTTACAGGTCAGTAATTGGTATAGAATACAATTGTGCGCTCCTTATTGCCTTGAACCTCTCAAAAATATTACCTTACAAGTATTACCAAGAAACTGATATGCTCTAATGAGGGGGATGTTTTAAATTCAAATGACGCTGCATTACCATTTTCCACAGGGATAACTTTTTGCTTTCTTATCTGCACTTCACTTTTTTCCAATTTGTTTGGTTGAATTCTTTTCAGGATGCTAAAAAGGGTATGCTGTTTATCGATTTTCCTCCAGTTCTACAGCTTCAGCTTAAGCGATTTGAATATGATTTCACACAAAATGCGATGGTTAAGGTTGGTATCAGGAAATTGTGTTTTATTCATTTTTCACTACATGTTCACTATTATGATGCCTTTAGCCCATTTCTTTTCAGCTCATTCAAGGGAGCTTATAATGAGTCATTAACGATAATGACAAAACATATATTTGTTATTTGCATTTGTATTTAAATATGCTTAGGTTACTTTCCATTATATTAAGTGTTGACACTGAGTTACTGACAATCATACCATTTCCTGTGAAATTCATTTCATCTATATGCATTAGAGCTAAAGTAAATTTTGAACCGTCTTTTGTTCTCTATGCGGCACAGTATAAAATGTGATAGTGGGGCACCACTCTTGTAGGGTTTTGGAGAAACTCTGTCCTACAACTTTGCAGCAGAAAATTATTGCGTTGAGGGATTATTCTGGGGTTTTGGTCATTGATTTTTGAATCATGTCATAGTTGTTATGAAGTTATAAGCGACTTCAATATCTAAAGTGGCTCCGCTCAGTTCATTTTTATTTGCTTCCATACTCAAATAAACTATGAACAGTCTCAAAATAATGGTATTTAGCGCCACCCTTTACATTAAGGTGTTCACTAATAAATAGTTTCCCCTGTGCAATACACCTTTAACCACATTGTCCAGGCCCTCCAAATATTTATGTTTAACTTATTCTTCTGAACACTCATACAGTCATACTACATAACTCCCTCCAACCTGATTTGATTTGCAAAAGTTGAACAGCACAAGATTTAAGGAATGTAATAAATTAAGTTTGATTTTACCTTTTTTGCCCTTTCTCACATAAAGTAGAGGCATTTAAGTAAATGGAAAAGGGGTAAAAGTAAGGGTGAATTTGTCACTTCATTCATCTTTCGATACCTAAAATAGGAAGTGGAAAATCATATTTGACAACCAAAATAGGAAATTTTGCCAATCAAATTGGGATGAAGGAAGTTATGACATCAGTAATCTTTTTACAAAAATCTTTTTACTCTCGTAATCCTACACCTCAACTCTTCACTACTCAATTGTCAACCCATTCATATTTTTGTCTCTTCATATATAAAAGGTTATATCCCCCACGGTGTGATAACCCTAGTTTATGTCCAATTCACTTAATATATTGAAATAATAAAAAATTAGTCCTACTGTCCCATACTCCCATATGTAGTTTGTCCCATATCAGTCCTAAATTATATTTTTCATACCACATTCGACAACATTTGTGTCACTTATAATAATATCACACTTATAACATCATCCACATAAAATCTCTCTTCATTCCGTGTACCACTTTTCTTTGTCCCAAATATAATGGGACAGAGGGGCAATACTTATCCTTATCATTGCTTTCACTAAGTTGAAAGGTAGAATGTTTATTATATCAAAGTAAAATAGAGCAAATTGCTTTTATAGGCTAAACTAACCTAAATAAGGGAATAAGAAAATCTGTACAAATCTTCAGATTGACACAAACCTTCTAAATGATACTATGAAATCAAATCATAACAAAAAACAGATCTCTAACTCATTCATTTTCATTTACCCCAGTGCCGCAAAGGCTCCCACCTACGGTGGGGTAAGGGGGGGTCGGATGTACGCAGTCTTACCCCGTACTAAAGCACAGAGAGACTGTTTCCGGATGACCCATAGTGAAAATCGAGTCCAAAATTGCATGAACTGACTGCTGCTCCATAACAAAGAAGCGCAAACAGTTTAGTGAGCCATTTTGCTTTATTCCATCATAATTCAAGCCAAAAAATGAATCTTTGGCTCCATTGCAAATGATGGAAATAAAAAACAGAACTCTAACTATTCTCATAAAATTAACTAGGTATTATATTGTTACAACACTCCTCCCTCAAGCTGGTGAATGAATATCTATCATTCTCAGCTTGCATGTAAGATCTTGAAGTCATTCTAAGGGAAGACCTTTGGTGAGCAAATCAGCCAACTGAAGTCCAGAAGGGACGTACTGTGTTGAAATCACACCACTGTCCAATTTCTCTTTGATAGAGTGTCCGTCTATTTCTATGTGTTTTGTTCTGTCATGTTGGACAAGATGATGAGTATACTAATTGCAGACTTATTATCACATAAAAGTCTCGTATGAGCTTGAAACTGTTTTTTCAAATCTTCCGGTATGATCTTCATCCATAATAATTCAAAAACTGCTTGAGTCATGGCTCCGAGTTCTGCCTCTGCACTTGATCTTGCAACTACATTCAGCTTCTTGCTCCTCCATGTCACTAAGCTTCCACCCTACGAACATGCACTATCCAGTAGTTGACCTTCTATCAACAATTGACCCTACATGCTCTGCATCAACATAAACTTCCATAGACAAATGCTTCTTCTTTTTGAATAGTAAGCCTCTCCTAAGTGGATAAATGGACTCGATCATATGTTTGAGGGGACCTGCTCCGACTGAATTTCCCATCATCGTGCCTAACTCTAATACCAAATGGACTCTAGTACAAAAATCCCCTCTCCTAAGTGAATTTCCATAGACCTGCTCCGACTGAATTTCATAGGCTTCAACTTGCAAAACTTTAACTCAGACAATAATTGTTTTAGCCATATAAGTTCACAAGTAGTGAGAGCCATGGCTCGATACTCTGCTTCGACATTTGATCTAGCGACAACACTCTGTTTCTTGCTTTTCCAAGAGATTAGTCACCAATGAGAACACAGTACCCTGAAGTTGATCTCCTATCATTTGGACATTCGGACCAATCCGCATCTGAATATGCAGTAATATTGTCATAACCCCGGTTCACATAAACCAGTCCTCTTCCAGGTGAACCCTTGATGTATCTTGAGATGTTTTTACTTCGATTGTTTTCAGTCCCAGACCATACCAGATTAGATCAAGTCAGACCAAACCAGACCAGACCAAATCTTTTGTTTGAAATTGTTGGGACAAGTACAATTTAAGATTCTTTATGCCATCATGATCATCCCCTGTTATTACAATATCATCAACATAAACAACACGGGAAGTAGATTGATTAGTATAAGATCCTTTATAAAACACGACGTGGTCTGCTTTGCATTGAATCATCCCAAACTGTTTGAGAGCCGTACTGAATCTGCCAAACCACGCTCGTGGGGACTGTTTAAGATCATACAAGGCCTTATGCAACCAACACACGTATCTACACTCCCCATGTAAACTTCTTTTAAATTACCGCGAAAGAATGCTTTTTTTTATGTCCAACTGATGTAAGGGCCAACTACACATATCTGCCGTAGATAAGAACAAACATACATAAGCTATCTTTGCAACCGGAGAAAAGGTGTCGCCATAATCCAAGCCAAAAACTTGAGTAAACCCTTTAGCAACCAAACACGATTTTAGTCGGCCAACTTGTCCATCAGGACCAACTTTGATTGTAAACACCCATCGGTGACCAACAATAGATTTCCCGTGGGGCAAGGGAATAAGTGACCAAGTACGGTTAATTTCAAGGGCAGCCATCTCATCAAGCATAGCTTGGTGCCACATGGATGGGCAAAAGCTTCCTGGACAGTTGTAGGAATGGAAACATTAGAGATGGAAGACACAAAAGCATATGGGAAGGAGATAGACGATGATAACTTAGACAATTGTAAATAGGATGCGGGTTCCGAGTGGAACGTATACGTTTTCCAGTTGCAATTGGAAGATTAGGTTGAGCTGGTGCCTCAGGTTGGTCCGGAGTAGGTACAGAGGTGGAGCTGGAGACGAATCAGCAGGGTCATTATTAGGGACATCCTCATTAGGTGCAGACGGCGGTGGACGCTGATAAGTAATGAGAGGTTTGGGAGAAGACAATGGAGGACTGGGAGGTGACAATGGAGTAAGATGAGGAATGGGTAAGACCGGAGAGACAAATTTGACTTCCACCGGTGGAGTGAAATGTGGTTGATCCTCAAAGAAAGTGACATCTGCAGAAGTATAATAACGATGAGTAGAAGGTGAATAGTAACAGTACCCTTTTTGGACTCGAGTAGCCAAGGAATATACACTTGATTGCTCATGGAGATAATTCATCAAGACCGGGGGAATGATCCTGCACGAAACAAGTAGAACCAACGACTTTGGGAGGAACAAGGAAAATGGGGTCCTTTGGGAACAAGATAGAGTGCGGTACTTTGTTATCCAATGTAGAGGATGACATTCGATTGATCAAATGAACACCATCTCCCCAGAATTTTAGTGGGGCATTGACATGAATCAGTAGTGTGTGTTGTTTCAATGATACAACGATGTTTTCTTTCGGCAATCCCATTTTGCTGAGGCATGTGGGTCATGTGGATTGATGAGTTATCCCTTGAGTAGCCATATATTCATTGAAATTTGTTGAGAAATATTCCTTGGCATTATCACTACATTTCAACACACTTCAACCTTTTGGTCAATTGTTCGGACAAACCTTGGCCTAAGAACCACATTTCAACACAAACTTGCCAATCCATGTAGTTTCTGTCGTTAAGTTTTTCAGAAGTTATTTGGGGATTCCCAGAAAGACAAAGGACACTGTTAGGGTTTGGGCCTAATGGACTGTTAGGAATTGGGCCTAATAAACCAAGAATAATAATAAATGTATTAGTTAGTATAAATAGACTAAATTGGGGAGAAGTCGGGAAGGTTGTTTAGACGTTTTCACACTGGGACTTGGGAAGATCGAGTTTTATCTCTTTCTTTTGGGGGGCTTCGGCTCATTGGGGGCTTCGGCCAGAAATCTTTGTCTTCTCCTGTAATCGATCACCTTCATCAATAAAGTTTTCATCAGTTTTTCTTGTTAATCTTTCCATAAATCTTCTGAATTTCTGGAGGTTCTAACAATTGTATCAGAGCCAGTCGATCACTGGATGAGACTCACGCGGGCGAAGATGGAGGGCAGAATCAACGAATTGGAAGAAAGGACGGAGAGAAATATGCAGGAGATGCAGAATACTTTGGTGGAGAGAATGGCGGCGATGCAGGCAGCGATGCAAGCTGACATCGCGAAGCTACAGATCGATCGAACAAGGAGTTCGAGGAGTCGATCGCATCGTTCAAGTACGTCTCATCGCTCGAATAGACACAGACGATCGAGGAATGATGAAAGCTCAGAAAGCAACGATAGTCATTCTGATCATTCTGTATCGAGACATAATCATCACCGAAGGCAGAGAAATCATCACCAAGCTGGACGGAAGATTGATCTACCTATTTTTAATGGAGAAGACGCCTGTGGCTGGTTACTGAGGATGAACCGTTACTTCAGGTTGAACAGAACTGAGGAAGTGGATAAGATTGATGTAGCTGTGATAGCCATGGAGGATCAAGCACTCAGCTGGTTCCAGTGGTGGGAAGGACAAGCATTGCAGCAGAATTGGAATACTTTTACTCAAGCTTTGACCAAACGATTTCAACCTGATCTGGTACAGGATCCGCTAGGGCCTCTGTTTAACCTGAAGCAGAAGGGGACAATTCAGGAGTACCGAGACAAATTTGAAACTGCTATCGCTTCACAAGGCCACTTAACTGAAGAGGTCTTGAGAGGAGTCTTTCTTAAGGGATTGAAAAGAGATATAAGAGCAGAATTGAAGTTGCATCGTACTAGAACGTTGGCAGAAGTTATGGATACTGCTTCCGCGATTGAGAACAAGAATTCTGAAACCTTGTTTGTGAAGAATAAAGAGGAAGGAAAGAGGAAAGGGCAAAACAAACCTACAATCCAGTTTTCAGGCCAGAAATGGGGAGATGAAAGCAGGTGGAAAAGCCATCCTTACACTTCTGCTAGTATGGACAATTTTTCAGTAGATCATAAGAGCAATGAAGATAATAAGGGCTGGAATTTCAGAAAGGAAGGTCCCAGTTGTGTGTCTAAGAATACAAGTCCCAGGTTATCCCAAGAAGAACTAATGGACAGAAGCAAGAAAGGACTTTGTTTTAAATGTGGTGAAAACTGGAATCGGGGTCACGTTTGTAGAATGAAAAATTTTAAGATGATGCTAGTAGAACAATCTGAAGGGGAGGAGGAATCTGATACTGACTGTAATAGAAGTAAGGGAGAAGAAGGAATACATATGGAAGTTAAGACTATGCAATTATCTGTACTGAACAAAGAAGGAACACCACCCATGAGAACATTCAAGGTTCTGGGAGATCTGAAATGGCTGACCGAGGAAAAGAAGGTGAATATTTTAATCGATAGTGGTGCTACCCACAACTTTATTTCCCAGCAACTGGTAGAAAGATGGAAGATACCTTTCCAAAGTATCAAGGCATATATGGTACAAATAGGCAAAGGAGAATTGATTCCGAACTATGGTAGATGTGAAGGAATGAAGCTGAATGTACAAGGAAATGAAATTCAACAGAATTTTTATATGTTGGAGCTTGGTGGGACTGACATGGTGCTAGGATTGGAATGGTTGACTGATCTAGGTATTATGGAAGTTAGTTTCCAAAACCAGATCATAAAATGGAAGAAACAAGGGCTGAATCATGTTATTCAAGGTGATGGGTATTGGTTGTACTGTGAAGGACCAAGCACGAAGCAGAAGCAAGAACAGTTAATTGAAGGCAGAAGGAACGAGCTTATAAAGGAGTACCCTGAAGTTTTCAAGTCAATTCTGGATAAAATGTCATGGCAGTTGTGTAAATCTGCTGTGAAATACATAGGAAAAAAGATGGAATCAGCCAAGCTAAGGGTCCAGAAATCATGCCAGTATTGGAAAGGAAAAAGTGCTAGGATGAAAGAAAAAATAAAGATTGAGGCTGTGTCCTATCACCCACTTTGAGGGCAAGGTGGATGTTTAGGGGGGGAGTATTGTTAGGGTTTGGGCCTAATGGACTGTTAGGAATTGGGCCTAATAAACCAAGAATAATAATAAATGTATTAGTTAGTATAAATAGACTAAATTGGGGAGAAGTCGGGAAGGTTGTTTAGACGTTTTCACACTGGGACTTGGGAAGATCGAGTTTTATCTCTTTCTTTTGGGGGGCTTCGGCCAGAAATCTTTGTCTTCTCCTGTAATCGATCACCTTCATCAATAAAGTTTTCATCAGTTTTTCTTGTTAATCTTTCCATAAATCTTCTGAATTTCTGGAGGTTCTAACAGACACAAGACTCCTTGAAGAGTCGGGGGTCATGCTGCTTGCAGGAGACGTGACATACACTGACTTGGGCACAATTTGGAATAACTAGGACTTATATTCCTAGTGCCGGCAGACCAGTCTCGATGAAGGTTGGCTGCAGGGACGACTAGGGCAAGTGAGGATCAGGCTCTGATACCAACTTGAATTTACCGATTTGAATGAATTTGCTAGAGAGAAACTATTCTCAGTTGATCTTTATTTATAAGGTTCATAATTACAAGGAAATAATCATATGTACATCAATCAGTTATTAACTCCTGATTTGATACAATTTGTACAATAAATACTAAAATCAAGAAGGATATCTCTTAGAATCATATCAAATCTCAACATGACCTAGTCAAGACCCCCAATAATAATTTCTTCCAAAGTACTGTATTAATCAATACCAGGGTCCCTTATATAGCTGTCATAACTCATAAGAGCCCAGATCCAAATAGGGATATCATGAAAATAGGAAATTAACTAAAACTAAATTATGAAACAACAGTAGTAATCTGATTAGGAAGCTAATAATAAATAATAATAACAGTGATCTTGCTGCCCAAGTTAAGCCACTTTCAGTTTCCTCATTAGTCATTTCCTGTGTTACTTGTTCTGCTTGGGCCTCACTTGCACTGATTGTGCTTCTTTGGCCGGTTGGCCCAACTTGCGGCTCTGATAGCATGACACCAGAATGCATCCATATCCAATATCAAACCATAAGAGAAACCATAGTTACGTTTTAGACCTAAGATTATAACTTCAAATAATCTTCAAGACCAATAGAGCCGTTCAATGTATCGGTATCTACCTCCTGCAAGTACAGGAAAAAGAGAAAAAAAGAACTCTAACCACTAGAGAACAGGCAGAGATGTTAAAGAGAGAAAGAGAGGGTCTTGTTGTAGGAAGAAATAAAAAACTAACAGAAAGTGGGAATAAAAGAATCAGAGATTCTGATAAATGGAGGGCTGTTATCTTGGACGCAGAGCCCTACTGTAATGAGGTGAGGAAGAATGAATATAAGGTTTTAGGTGTCTTTTTATCTTTTAGTTTTTTTAATTTCTATTTAAGCTCAAGCCAATTATTTTTTTAATTTCTATTCGAATTCCGTCCCAGTCATACGCCTCAGCAAAGCAAGCTCTAGGTCATGATTCTGGCAGACAGTGCTTATGCATTCTCTGGTGCATTTTCCAGCACCTTAGTGCCCATGAGAAGTGCACCTTGTTCATCTTTCACATAATGATTCAGATAGTAAACACCAATAGTCACATTCAAGAAATTCAACAAAGTTTTTACTTCAGTACGTTAAAAGCTTTTTCAGTGACAACCATATATAAACTAACCTTTCATTTATTACTTGAAATTAATATGTGCTTAGTATCTGATAAATTACTATGATTGCCAATAATTGATCTACAATTGTGTCCAGAAAGGTGGAAGTTTCAAAAGAAAACACACCCCCTCACCCCTCTAAAGAACTTGCAATGAGAAAGGAAAACAAGGTGGAGCAATAAAAGAAGAACTTTGTTGGGGGGGGGGGGGGGGGGGTTAGTCTATCTATAAGAGGAGAGTTTATGAAAAGCCTAACAGATTCTTTCCTTTCTACCGGCTACTGGTCATCTGTTGGGAGTTTCAGGTTGCATACCGATATTTTAGCAAAAAATCTAATAAATCTAAGTGTAGTACTTGTGGTATTGATCTTTTATTGAAAGGGAGTGTGTGAGTCATTTAATTCAGGAATAGGCTGGACTAACCAGCTCTACTCTCACTCTTTGTTTTCCTGAAAACTTGGAGAAAGGCGCAATATCTCCCGCATTACTTCTGAATAAATAATTTTTCTGCAAGAACCATATCATTTTGTCATTTATCGGTGAATCGACTCTGATTATTGCATGACTTATTAGTTCTACAGATGTAACCAAATAAGTTGTCCAGTGGTGTGGGGTTTCATTCAAATGGTCTGCTAAGCTGCAGAGTGCTAATATATGCAGATAAATGACCGCTATGAATTCCCCCTTGAGCTTGATCTTGATAGAGAGAATAGCAAATATTTGTCTCCAGAAGCAGATAAGACTGTTCGAAACCTTTATACACTTCACAGGTACCCCCCTCCCCCCAAAACAAATCTTGTCCCACACACACTCACCAAAGGAGTTCATGCTTTGTTATTGAGATTCATGAACCGTTTTTTTGTCAGTGTCTTGGTTCACAGTGGCAATGTGCATGGTGGACACTACTATGCTTTCATCAGGCCTACACTCTCTCATCAATGGTGCACTTTGTTATCCTGAAATGTCCTTATCTTTTCTGCTTTGCCACTCAAGTAATGAGTTGCCTATGCATATTTAAAAAAATATTTACGTCTTCACCCTGAAAAAAGAATATACTCATGTGAGTCATGTCGGACTGCCTTCATTTTTCTCCTGAGTTTGAAATAATAATAATAATAATAATAATAATAATAATAATAATAATAATAATAATAATTTGTTCCAATGCTGCATACTTCATCTACGCATGTACTTCTATTGATAATCCTTAGCTATTTGATGTTTGTGAACAGCCCTTAGCTATTAGTCTAATGCCAGATGTTTCAGAGTTTCCTAATAATTAGATGTGATTATTTGATTATCTTATAGGTACAAATTTGATGATGAACGAGTCACCCAAGAAGACATTACGAAGGCATTAGAGGAGCAGTATGGCGGTGAGGAGCAGGTAATACTACTAATAGAGACACTTTATCATGACTTCATAAATACTTGAAAAATGAAATTTATCATGCTTGTTTGTTTTGGTATCTGATCAGTAATTTCTGACCTGTTATCGTCATGTGAAATAGTTGCCACAGACGAATCGCGGCTTCAGCAACTCCCCATTCAAATTTACAAGATACTCAAATGCTTACATGCTTGTTTATATACGTGAGAGTGACAAGGATAAGATAATCTGTGATGTTAATGAGAATGACATAGCAGAACACTTTAGGGTAGGCTCACTGGTTTCATGCTTGGAAATAGATTATTTATTCCAGCTTGATTTTTTTTTTTAAGAATGGTTGTTTGTATTCCAGATAAGGTTGAAGAAAGAACAAGAAGAGAAGGAGGATAAGAGACATTATAAAGCACAGACACATTTATATACTATTATAAAGGTTTTCTTAAAATTTATATATTTATGAGTATGAATGATTGACCTTCATTCCCTGTTATCTCCAATACACAATTAAAGCTGCTAATTTGTGTAGGTTGCACGCGATGAGGATCTAAAAGAACAGATTGGTAAGGATATATATTTTGATCTTGTTGATCATGACAAAGTCCGCAGCTTTCGGATTAAAAAGGAGATGCCATTTATTCATGTCAAGGTACTGTTTTATCTTTGTTTTGAATGCAATATACATTATTTTACTGAATGTGAGTTCTCTTTTTATACTTTTCTTAGCAAACTAAATAGAGAAAATTCTCGTAATAGGACTATAGGAGTAGAACACTGAAGTACATGTGGAAACCCTAGTAGTATTGGGCTTAGCCCATTTGTATATCTTGTATAGGAAACCCTAGTACTCTAAATATAGCTATAAATATAGCTTCTTGTATAACATTTTAACATCAAGTATATGAATTACAACAATACTTGTTCACATGGTATCAGAGCCACTACGTCAAATATAATTAGTTAGTGTTATTATCTGTCAGTCGGTCAGAAATTCCGGCGTGAATAGTGGTCGTGGATGTCGTGCTTTCGGTAGTGATATAAACCTACCGTCGTCTTCACCTCAACATCGCGACTTACCGCCGTGAAAATCACGCGCCGACGCAGATCCGTCCACGCGTCGCCCAGATCCGCCCAGATCAATCCACGCGCCGACGCAGATCCGTCCACGCGCCGCCCAGATCCGCCCAGATCCGTCCACGCGCCACCCAGATCCGTCCACGCGCCGCCCAGATCCGTCCACGCACCGCCCAGATCCATCCACACGCCGTCTAGATCCGCCAGATCCGCCGACCGTCCACGCGCCGCTGCCGATCGTCCATACGCAGTGCTTCCGCCGCTGCTTTGTTTCGTAGCTCCCGGACAAAGGTTGGTTTTCATACTCCCTGATTTGCTTATACTGTTCATCTTCCCAGCAATCCAGCAAAGATCTTGGTCAACACACTCCAGCTGTTGTCTTGGGAAGTTACTGCTCCATTACTTTAAATTTTCTATTATTTGCAAACTGCTCCAAATAATAGCTTTCTCCGTGAGTTCTACTGCCTTGAAGCCATGATCCCCTCGACAAGTTTTATTTTTGATTTCTCATTTGTTTTGGTAATATTAGCTTTTCACTCTTCAAAAAAAAAGAGAAAAAAGAAAATAAATAAAAAAATAATAAAAAAGAATCAGTAAAGAAAATGTGTTTTATGAGTTCTGACAGAGGAAACAACACCGGATGCTCAAGATAGAATCGTCCTCAATGTGATTTGTTTCATAAAATTAGTCATACCAAAGACAAGCGTTGTCAATTACATGGGAGACCCCCTCCTTCAGCCCATGTTGCTCAGCTACCGCCATCTCCCATTGTTCTATCACCGGAAGAATATGCAGCATTTCAGCAATTTAAGTTGGCTAATATGCATGTATCCACACACGGGATGTCTACCGCTTGTGTTTCAAACACAACATTCTCATGGATCATTGACTCAGGTGCCTCAGACCATATTTCTGATAATCCCCATCTTTTATCCCATATTACCAAGCACCAACATCTTCGTTTGATTAGTCTTGCTAATGGCCTTCAAACTTCGGCTTCGGGTATTGGGCAAGCACTTCCACTTTCATCCTTACCATTAGACTCAGTCTTATATGTCCCAAACACCCCTTTTAACCTTGTCTCTGTCAGTAAAATTACACGTGCTCTTAATTGTTCCGTAACATTTTCTGCTGATTCTGTGATTGTGCAGGACCGTTGTACGGGGAAAACGATTGGCGTCGGCCATGAATCTCAAGGTCTGTATCATCTCCATCCTCTTGATCCAACCGTTTGTGTTTCAGTTGAACCTGCTATTACCTTACATAACCGTCTGGGTCATCCTAGTCTCTCAAAGTTTCAACGTATGGTACCAGGTTTCTCAAATCTTTCATCTTTAGATTGTGAGTCATGTCACCTTGGAAAAAAACCTCGTAAATCCTTTCCAAGGTGAGTCAATAAACGGGCTACATCACCGTTTGATTTAGTTCATACAGATGTATGAGGTCCGTATCGAGTCACTTCTACTTTAGGTTTCCGTTATTTTGTTATTTTTGTGGATGATTTTTCCCGTTACACACAGTTGTTTTTAATGAAAGAGCGTTTTGAATTGTTTCATATTTTTCAAACTTTTTGTGCTGAAGTTCAAACTCAGTTTGGTCATTCTATCAAAATTTTACGCAGTGACAATGCTAAAGAATTTTTTGGTGCATCCTTTAATCAATTCTTTTCCATCATTTGCAATGGAGCCAAAGATTCATTATTTTTTGGCTTGAGATTATGATGGAATAAAGCAAAATGGCTCACTAAACTGTCTGCGCTTCTTTGTTATGGAGCAGCAGTCAGTCCATGCAATCTTGGACGCGATTTTCACTATGGGTCATCCGGAAACAGTCTCTCTATGCTTTAGTACAGGGGTAAGACTGCGTACATCCGACCCCCCTTACCCCACCGTAGGTGGGAGCCTTTGCGGCACTGGGGTAAATGAAAATGAAAATGAAAATGATCCTTTAATCAATTCATGGCATCACGGGGTATGCTTCACCAATCCTCTTGTGTTCACACACCTCAACAAAATGGGGTTGCTGAACGCAAGAACTGACACTTGGTTGATACTGCTCGTACCCTATTATTACATTCTCATACACCACCTCAGTACTGGGCAGATGCTGTGCTCACTGCGTGTCATTTAATCAATAGAATGCCTTCCTCAATTCTTAACAATGAAATTCCTTATTCTATTTTGTTTCCTGCTCATGATTTATTTCCATTATCACCTCATGTGTTTGGGTGTGTGTGTTTTGTCCATGATACGACACCTGGATTAGCTAAAATGTAGGCTAGGTCAATAAAATGTATCTTTCTTGGATATTCGCGACTCCAAAAAGGATATCGTTGTTATTCTCCATTACTTAAGAAACATTTTATTTCAGCCGATGTCACTTTCATTGAGTCGTCCTTTTATTATCCATTATCTTCGGTTGATACCCGATCATGTTTGGACTTCACCTCATATCTCCGACCCATCCATCTGGAGACTCCCATTAACCCCCCATCTGATGAGCACCCAAATTGCTCTCCTATGGTAGTCTGTCCATTACAAGTATACCATCGACGTCCTCGACCTCCTCCCATTGTGCCCATTGTGGTCACGTCAGTTGAATCCCCTATGACGGGTCCCACATCATCACCATAAGATACCCCAGTACCTGAAATTACTCAAGATGATTTGCCCATTGCTCTCCGAAAAGGTACACGTTCTACTTCGAATCCACATCCCATATATAACTTTTTGAGTTATCACCGCCTCTCTACCCCTTATTATGCTTTTATTTCCCATCTGTCTCATATATGCATTCCTAAAACCACACATGAGGCACTGGCACACTCGGAATTACGTGGCTGAGATGGAGGCTCTTCATTCAAGTGGGACGTGGGACTTAGTCCCCCTTCCCACTGACAAATCAGTGGTGGGATGTCGGTGGATTTACACAGTTAAGGTTGGGCCTAATGGGGAGATTGATCGTATTAAAGCACGCCTTGTGGCGAAAGGGTATACTCAGATATATGGATTGGATTACACTGACACTTTTCTCCTGTAGCGAAGATTGCATCAGTTCGTTTGGTTTTATCCATGGCAGCAATGAGCCACTGTCCATTGTTCCAATTGGATATTAAAAATGCATTCCTTCACGGAGATCTGCACGAGGAAGTTTATATGGAGCAACCACCTGGGTTTGTTGCTCAGGGGGAGTCTGGTATGGTGTGCAGATTACGTCGTTCATTTTATGGCTTGAAGCAATCTCCACGTGCATGATTTGGGAGGTTTAGTGTCGTTGTATGCAACTTTGGCATGATTCGCAGTGATGTCGATCATTCTATATTCTATCGACATTCTGCTGGCAACAAATGTATTTATCTTGTTGTGTATGTTGATGACATTGTCATTACAGGTAACGATGATCAAGGAATTGCGCTCCTCAAGCAACATCTCTTTAGAAAAATTCAAACAAAAGACTTGGGAAAGTTGAGATACTTCCTTGGCATTGAGGTTGCACAGTCTCAAAATGGAATTGCTCTCTCACAAAGAAAGTATGCCTTGGATATTCTTGAGGAAACAGGTTTGCTAGATTGCAGGCCAGTGGATACACCAATGGATCCAAACGTTAAACTCTTATCAGAACAGGGAGATCCTTTGCCCAACAAGGAAAAATATAGAAGACTCATCGGCAAATTGAATTATCTTACCATCACGAGACCAGATATTTCATTTGCGGTAAGTGTTCTTAGTCAGTTTCTTGATAAGCCATGTACTGGACATTGGGATGCAGCTATCCGAGTTTTGAGATACATCAAGAAAACTTCGGGGCAAGGATTGTTGTTTGAAGATCGAGGCCACCATGATATTGTGGGATACTGTGATGCAGACTGGGCTGGATGTCTGATTGATAGACGTTCCCCTTCGGGATATTGCATCTTGATCGGTGGAAACTTAATTTCATGGAAAAGTAAGAAACAAGATGTGGTTGCCAGATCTAGTGCTGAAGCAGAATATCGTGCAATGGCCTTTGCTACATGTGAAATCTTATGGTTGAAGCATCTCCTCCAAGAGTTAAAATATGGAAACACAAAACCAGTTCAACTCATGTGTGATAATCAAGCTGCAATGCACATCGCATCAAATCCGGTATATCATGAGAGGACAAAACATATTGAGGTTGATTGTCATTTTATCCGAGAGAAGATCGCGAGTGGACATATCATCACAAAATATGTCAACACAACTGAACAACTTGAAGATATTTTAACTAAGTCTCTTAGAAGTCCAAGAGTGGGATATATTTGTAACAAGCTTGGTACATATGATTTATATGCTCCAACATGAGGGGGAGTGTGGAAACCCTAGTAGTATTGGGCTTAGCCCATTTGTATATCTTGTATAGGAAACCCTAATACTCTAAATATAGCTATAAATATAGCTTCTTGTATAGCATTTTAACATCAAGTATATGAAATACAACAATACTTGTTCACAGTACACAAATAGGAATGACATGTTCCGTAGGAGCAAAAACATACTTGCTTGACAAAATTGCCCTTAATGAAATTTTAGATCGATATTTATAATAAAAAACAAAAAATAAATTAAAAAAATTACAGTAGCCCCAAACCCTATGCAAAGTGCAATATGAACCTCACTTTCTATATGAATTTTCTTTTTGGTGGACTCGTTAGCTCAATACACATTACTAAAATGTGATGGATTTGTGTTTTTGCTTTTTTAAAGAATATGCATCATGAATTATTCCAGTGGTTATGGATTATTCTTTTCTGTTAAATATATATACCAGACTTATTACTAGAAACCTATGGCATATATATGCATGTTTGTGTGTGCATGTGCGTGTGTATTAAGTAGTATAGGACCCAAAAAGTCACCGAGTATTACAGAGTAATCAGTACTAATCACTATAATGCCTTTGGAGCTGCTACTGAGTAACGATTTACGATTTAACTTCAATTTTGATGGACTAGTAATACACACTATCTCCTTCTCTCTCATCGGATGCAATGTCTTACTCAAGAGCTGCATAAGAAATTGTAATTTGTGTCAATTTGATGTGCCGTAAAATGACCAAAACACATTTATGTATTTTTATGTCATTGGAATTCCAAAATAGGTCTGTCATGTTTTTATTCCCTAATAGGCGTAGTTACTACCAATTTTGGAAAATACTGCCATGTTTAAAGTCTCAAAAGTCCCAAAACATGGTAGTAATTACTCCTATTTAGGAAATAAAACGTAACAGTCCTATTTTGGAATTCCGAAACGTTTTTACTCCTATTTTGCCATTTAGGGAAATTTCTTTTAGAATTATCATTGGCTGGTCAGTTAACAGTGAACACAGTTAGTTAAAGACATCATGCATCACATTTCTTTTTTAATGGAAAAATCGTTTAGATTCTGGTAGGTATAAGCTTTCTTTGTGTGTATGAGTAATCTATATTGTTGCTAACTGGGGTAATGTTATGTCTACACAAGAAAAAGGGGTAAACACATGATTATTCTCTTTTTTGTCTTGTTAGGATCAGAATATCAATGTATTTTGATACCACTTTAAATTCAACAAGTTTTTGCTTTCACACTTCTTTTGGCTATATATGGACATACCTAACAACCTGATACTGCTCTATCTTTGATTTACTTTTGAGAGGCTTAAACTTTTAGCTTTTGGAGCTTTATCTAACCCATTGATGGACACTGCAGGAGGAGGTTGCCAAGGAGCTTGGTATACCTGTACAGTATCAGCGGTATTGGATATGGGCAAAGCGGCAAAATCACACATATCGTCCAAATCGCCCTTTGACTCCACATGAGGAGTCACAGTTGGTGAGTTTAATTTTTGTTTGGTAACAAATTCATTTGAAATTTGAATTGACTCAATTTGCCTTTCACATGCCGTAGCTGTAAGTATTTGTGCTAGGGTGAATAGGTGATGTGACTGATGTCTATGCACAAAGGGGTTTACCTTGCCAAATGCGTAATGTAAATCTTTTCTGATGCCAATGGTAGGATGGTAGTTTCTTTTTTCAATCTTGAATGTCAATGGTAGGTAGGAGGTGCATGTTTTTTAAACTAAATGTACATTTTCATTCATTATTGCAGTGCAAGCGGATGTAATTAACCTATGATGAGGGCGGGTGGGAATATCATATCATTATTACTTTTTTCTTAAGAAGATTATGATAGAAAGGGCACCTATCATAGAGCCCTGTCAATGTGTTTTGCATGCATTTATAGTGTAATAATTTTAGATATTAATTTGAAGGGATTTACCTTGCAAGATATGTAATACAATTATCTATTTCTGAAAACGATGGTAGGGTGGTAGCTTCTTTGCACAATACTAGGGCTGGTTGGTCCATGGTTTGTAGATTTAATGTACTATATAAATCTTGTAGTGGCACTGGCACATGATATCATAGTTATCCCAACTCATTGTCATGTATGATGAGGAAATAACCTATTCTTTAGGTTGTGATGAGGACTGTTTGAAATTTTCATCTCATTATCACTATATTCTTTATATGGTTGTGAAAGAAAGGACATCCAATATAGAGAGCTTACTGCCACAATGGTTTGTGCATACATTTATAGTGAATGTATGCCATTGACCTGGCATACTTGGGATTTAGGTTGTGGGATGATAATTTCTTTTTAAGGATATTGCTGCAAGAAGGGCATCTATTTTTGTCCCTGATTGTTTTTCTTGAATATGTATTGTTAATAATTGCAGGCAATTAAGTGAAACTATAAAATTTGTGTTAACAACTCTAATTTGTTGGTAATTACTTGATATTTCACATTTTCATGTTTAGAATTTAGGGTTTGTATGTTATCGCGCTATATGGGTTCATCATCTTGTAGCTTTATCTTGTAAGCTGGTCAAGCCTTTTATTCTAAGCTTCAGATATGTCAACCACTGGGTTAGCATTTACAGTTAGCAAAGACATTGGGCTCATTATTACAATTCAAGATGACTCAACCAATAAAAACATTTAAACAACATACTATATCAGCCTACTATTTTTTGTGTCTATTTTTGCAATAACATATTGTAATTGAAATGTAGTTGTAGCAAGCTACTGGGTTATGTTTTAACATGACTGTCATAGAAGATCAATATATTTAGTTTTTTAGTTTGACCTGGTATATACTGTAGGTTTCATCGTACCTACTTTTGAAGTGCAGGTTGGGGAGTTGAGAGAAGTTTCCAACAAGACCAACAATGCAGAACTTAAGTTATTCTTGGAAGTAGAATATGGACCGGTAACGAATTGAGTATATTTTTATATTATGCCTTACTTTAAAATATGCCTTTTTTAAATGGTAATATATTATTGATGCTGTGGTGGTAACTTTTTTTGTTTCCTTATCTACATAAAAAGAATCAACTTCTCATTCCTCCACCTCACAAGAGTGAAGACGACTTACTTCTTTTCTTTAAGCTCTATGATCCTTTAAAAGAACAATTACGGTAAGCTGTTCACTAGAAGTAAAAAAACTTCTCAACTAGTGTTACCAGTTTGATTTAAAAAATGATATGTAATTAATTTCTTTTGGTTTAGGTATGTTGGTCGGTTTTTTGTAAAGAATACTGGTAAACCAGTTGAATTATTAACAAAGCTGAATGACCTGGCTGGATTCCCTCCTGACCAAGAAATTGAACTATTTGAGGTGTGTATTATCACTAAATATTCTCTTCTTATGTTCATTTATTTACTCCCTCCGGTCCTTAATTAACTTTACATGTTCCTTTTTGGGCCGTCCCATATTAAACTTTACACTTCCTTATTTGCCTTGTTTGGCAAACAAATCTACACCAAACAGTGCAAAACAATGTCAAACAGTGTCAAACAGCGCCAAACAGTGTACTCTAGGGTAAAGTCAAATTTATTTCCTTAATATGTGTGAAGTCAAAGTGTAAAGTTTAACAAGGACCGGAGGGAGTATTTGTTTACTTGTTAGAATTACAGAGTTGATGCACAGGATGCAAATGGTATCTGAAAACTCCTCTATATGTTTATTCATTTAATGAATTTTCAGGAAATCAAATTTGAGCCTTATGTTATGTGTGAGCGACTTGACATATGGGCTTCATTTCGACTCAGCCAGGTCTGTTATCTTTAGTTCCTTGGTTTTCATAGGTGCTTTTTGAACTGTGTTCATCCCGTTTTACATCTTAGATTATTTGTTCTTCTGACAGATTGAAGATGGTGACATTATTTGCTTTCAATGGAAACCTGCTCCTGAAATTGAGGAGAAACTCAGACATCCAGCTGTTCCTTCATTTATGGAATATGTTAAAAACCGCCAGGTATTCATACCTTTGATTTGTTTTTGTGCTTCTACTTGTAAGTTATAACATTTTGCTCCATATGATTTGCTTCTTTTATTTGGTTTGACTTATTTGATGTTTTTCTTGTGGTAACCAAATCCTCAGCTGTCACTATTAAGTCTGTTAGGTCATGAGTTAAACTGTTAGTCTACAAGTGTTATCTTCCATAGCCTTTCTTCATCATGCCCTACATTATTTGCAAGACTTGCACATTGAGCTGACAGGCTCTACTTTTTCAATAATATGGCACATGATCTTTTTGAGTTCTGATGCCAGAACTCCCAGAAGATGTGTGTGTGTATCAATAGTTTGTAAGTGTCTGTAGTCCATAATGAAGAACTGAATTAAACATAATATTGAAAAGAACTATTTTAGCCCAGTGGAAAATGTGATTGGTGTCCCACTCTTTTATTCTAAGTTCTGGTAACTTTCTAAATTTAAAGGTTTCAAAACTAAACTTGAAACACCTTTTCTGGAATACCCCATTTGCAGCTTGTACGTTTCCGATCTTTGGACAGACCCAAGGATGATTGTTTTTGCCTTGAGTTGTAAGTACAATTGTACTGTTCTTCTAGATCCTCAGTGATGAATTTATTTCTTTTAGAATTTCAACAATTTTTCACCATCTTCAATTTTAGAGCAAAAAATCACACTTATGATGATGTTGTGGAGAGAGCGGCTCAACAACTTGGTTTGAAAGATCCTTCCAAAATTAGACTTACTCCGCACAACTGCTACTCCCAGCAACCTGAGCCTAGCCCCATCAAATATCGATCTGTTAATCATTTGGTTGACATGCTTATCCACTACAATCAGGTGGGTACTTGGAAAGACTCTTTTCCAATACTGGGAGAACAATAGGCCGTGCTGGGTTTATATTATGATCTCAGTGGGCTAACATCTGTTTTCTTTCCTTTTGGCTGGCTTTCGGTAGATTTCCGATATTTTGTATTATGAAGTTCTGGACATTCCTCTTCCAGAGTTGCAGTGTCTTAAAACACTCAAAGTTGCATTTCACCATATTACGAAGGATGAGGTGTATCTGATTTTAAGCAATGTGAATTTGTCATGCAGAAAGCTTTTATGCAGCAACATAAACCATTTCTGTTTTTCAGGCTGTAATTATCAATGTTAGGTTGCCAAAACAGAGCACAGTAGGAGATGTGCTTAATGAAATGAAGGGAAAGGTATGCAAGAGTGTTAAAGCAATTTTCTTTTTGCCTTCACTATTGTTATACTGAAGCACTATCATAGCATTCACAATATCTTCCACTCTAATCTTGAGTTGCTTTGTTGTATAACACAGATGCATTTTTTTTGTAGACTCGCAAGTACTTTTTATTTCCCCTTGTTCATTTTTTAATATTCAAGAGTGAGAGAAAGGAGAACAAAGATCATGCTGAAAAAACTTATTATGTGGGCTCTATTAGTAGACTGCTAACATCTGTATGGTGAATCAGGTAGAGTTGTCTCATCCTAATGCAGAACTCAGGTTGCTTGAAGTCTTCTATCACAAGATTTACAAGGTGATGAGTTGTGAAATAATGTGTTTGAAAAAAGTTAGCTGGTCATCTTTGTGTTTGTAATGGTGTCTGGTTCATGTTCAGATCTTCCCACTTAGCGAGGAAATTGAAAATATAAATGATCAATACTGGACACTGCGTGCTGAGGAGGTAAGGTATCTTTTGATGTTCCAAAAATGTAGTTGCTGAGGTTTCACTGAGTTTGCTTCCTCTCCACTCTTCACTGCATACTATTAATGATTACACACATAAAAACACACACACACACACACTCATTTTCTTTTTCTGCTTTTTTCGCATGCTGCACACTATCATTGTTATTTCTTTCAGGTACCAGAAGAGGAGAAAAACATAGGTCCTCATGACAGATTGGTTCATGTTTACCACTTCAAAAAAGAGACAGCTCAGAACCAGCTGGTACAAATATTTAAATTTCCCGCTAGAGATGGTTTCTTATCTGATTACTCTCAATAATTTCATATCAAATTTGCAACGTTTAACCGAAAGTGCATTGCTTTTCAATAGCAAATCCAAAATTTTGGGGATCCCTTCTTATTAGCCATTCATGAAGGTGAAACATTAGCAGAAATTAAAGTCCGGATTAAAAAAAAATTGCAGGTTCCTGAGGTTGAATTTTCCAAGGTACAGTGTTTTCTTTGTACTCTTTCTCTCTCTCTGCAGTATACGTTTGTTCTGGAATATTTTTGTAATTTTGACCATTCATGCTACCTAGTACTTTCTTTTGGTGTGACTTTATCAATCACAGCCATTGACTTTGTTATACTGTGTTATGGACAGTGGAAGTTTGCATTTATATCATTGGGACGCCCAGAATATCTTCAGGACTCAGACAATGTACTCAACTGCTTCCAGGTTATGTTTACCGTTTCTCTTCTCAGTTATTCTCCCTGACGGAAACTTGTTTCTTGTCCTATTAAAATTAAAATATAAAACCTTTGCGGTAATTGCCCAATTTATTTTCTCACACTGCTTATAATTACTATTGTTGTTATTAGTATAATTATTATTATTAATAATAATATTTTATTATTATTTTATCCAGAGAAAGGATGTATATGGTTCCTGGGAGCCGTACCTTGGTTTGGAGCACACTGTTGAGACTCCAAGGAGAGTTAGTTCACCTAGCCACGTAAGTGAATTACTTTTCTTGATTATATAGGTGTCTTGACAGAACTGATATAAAGTAAAATTTGAGACTCCAAGAAGATGTCTGAGTTCTTCGATGATTGTCTGATTGCAGAAGCGTCAAACTTTTGAAAAGCCTGTAAAGATACATAACTAAGCAGGAGCATCAAACTTTTGCGTATGCGTGCAGCCTCTTGACAGAACTGATATAAAGTAAAATTTAAAATGCATTCGAGGTTAAGGAGGAACTGGCCCGAGAGGGGCAAATCTTTTTGCTGATTGATTGCTCTAATGCAAGTACTACGGTAGTAGGCTATGATTTGATTTGTAGCGCCTCAATCACACATCAGTGTGGTAATACGCATATAAGCGATTTTGTTATTAAGGCAATGTATAGTCTGGGTCATTGTTTTCATGTTTCTTTTCTACTGTATTTCGATTCCGATGTCTCATGTGCTGCATAATACCCGAGAGATGGGCTTGCAGAGACAAAACTGTGACAGTTTTTGTGAAATGTTTTTAAATCAGGTCTTGTGCTTTTAAACCCATTTCTTTCTTTCTTTCTTTCTTTCTTTCTTTAAGATCTTGATACTTGTGCCTTAACGCAGTTGGTCTAATGACGTGCACTTCGACATCTTCATACCTAAACGTCTTTAAATTGACGTCCTAAAAGGATATCTTAGCGTCATTAGTTGAAAAGATGAAACTGTACTTCAATAGTGTGGACCCTGCCAGATCTATGTATGAGTAGGGACTAGGGAGGAACCAGACCCTTCATTTGGAAGATCAGTTTTGGTTCTGGTCTTATTTTGGTTATTTAATATTTTATTATATGTATAAGTTCTGAATATTTCATTAAAGGCAATTTGGTCAAGTCCAACCTTTTTTGCTCTTACCAAACATTAGACTCCAATTTGTGCATGAAGTTATCTTGAACTAAGTAAGAAGGTTTAAAATTTTCTTTTATGAAGGTTCAAAATTATTTTGAAATAGAAATCACTGTTACGTTGAATACGTTCCTTGTAAATGATCGTCACTGATATTTAGAAAACAAGTGTGTCTATATATACTATATATATATATATATATATATATATATATATATATATATATATATATATATATATATATATATATATATATGCTTAAACTACAATACTTTGAATAATACAAATACAAATCAATAATATGCTTAAAATACTAACCTACAAACTAAATAATATGCAACATTTTGGGTTTCAATATGCAGTACAAATAACGTAAAGTAGGGATAGACCGGCCCAGAACCGGTTCTGGGCTTTTAGCCCGTTTGGACGGGTCGGGCTCGAGCCCAGTTTTGGGCGAATCGGCTTGGGCGGTTCGGGCCGGGCCCGGGTCATATTTTTTTTTTCATTTTTTTTTCTTTTCCCAGGGTAGGGTTGGGTGTTTTAGGGAGGTTTGGGGGTGGGGGGTGAGGAGGGGGGAGGGGGGGTCAGGGGATAACAAGAAAGCAAAAAAAAAAATAGACATTGACTCGGGCTCGGCCCGGTTAGGCCCGGACCCGATATCAAATCGGGCTGGTTCTGGGCCCAACATTTTTCAAAAAAAGCCCGCTCGGCCCGGAACTGGACCGGCTCTAGTCCATCCCTAATGTAAAGATACACACTGTGAACTTCAATATGGCGATATGCAATACAAATAATATTCAAGTATGGATGGATTCGGTTCGGGCCACCCGGCCCGTGACCCGGCCCGGCCCGGTACTGTGCGGGCCCAGGACCGGCCCGGTCGGGTGGTCCGGGACCGGGTATGGACCCGAACCGGTGGGAAGGGGCGGGGCGGGCTCGGTGCTGGATTATTGTGACCCGGCCCGGTCGGGTCGGGCCCGGGTCTAATTTAATTTTTTTTTTTTTTGGTTTGGGCTACTAGTCGTTGGGGGTGGGGCTGGGGACAACCCAAACGGCTATATAGCCATTGGGTGGGGTAAAGGGGGGGTCCGGGGGGGTTGGCTGGTGGTGGGGGGGGGGTGGGGGGGGGGTGGGGGGTAAAAAAACCTATAAATACTCCTAATCTTAAACATTTTTTCATATCTCTTCTCCAATTCTTCCTAAATCCTATTCTTAACTCTCTACTCTCTAATTCTCTTATTCTCCAATATATTATATTTATTATTTATATATCTACTTTATAGTTTATACTTAAGAGGTTAAGATGGAAAATCAAGATGCCATTATACGGTATAATTTTGATAAGCAGAAGGACCCGAAGACCGGGATGTGGTACGCAATTTGCAAATGGTGCGAGAAAAAATGTAGCATGGGGGTTTCTGACGGATTCGGTATGACAATCAAGCATATGAAGTCATGTGACAAAGCCAAAGGATCGGGAAGTGCGGGAAGTTCCGATTGATTACATTTTTCAAAATGTTTCTCTTAAAGTTTGTTTTAGTTTTCAAATGTAGTTCTTATTTCATTTCAAATAAATGCAATTGAAGTTTGTTTTTAATACTCGTATAAAACTATAAACTATAAAATATAAATTAAAAAAAAAATTAACCGGCCAGCCCGAACCGGACCCGACCCGTGACCCGAGCGGGTGGCCCGGCCCGGACCGGACCCGTCCAACCCTCGGGCCGGTCCCGAGCCCATGTCATACTACCCGGCGGCCCGACCGGGCCTAGGCCCGGCCCGACCCCATCAATATATGCAAGTATGCAACACTATGAACTTCAATATCCAATACAAATAATGGAAAGATGCACAAATGTGCAAACGTTCGGACATGATCGTTTAAGAGCCTTTCCAGTGGACACACTTGAAGGGTATTTTGACCAGAGCTGCCGTGTGGACATGACCGTTTAACAGCCTTTCTGGTGGATTTTTTGATGAATTGTTTTGAGCATGTTCCTTATCAAATCTAGTTTATGCATACCAAATTTCAGTTCAAACTTCGATAGGGAAGATAGTCAAATAAATTCTTGAAACATATTGCACATTATATATGTGTAGAATGCGCCATATGTTTCAAGAATTTATGTGTCTCCCTTCCCAATCTAGTTTTGAACTGAAATTTGGTATGCAGAAACTAGACTTGACGAAGAACATCTTCAAAAAAATTCATCAAAAAATTCCACCTAGAAGGCCCTCAAACGGGCAAGTTAGCACGGCGCATCCCGGCAGGCGTTCCTTACAGGTAGACTTGAACTCGGGCTGGGCCTAGTCCCGGTCGGGCTGGCGGTTTGTGAATGGTGGGCTCGGGACCGGTCCGTGGTAAATGCAGTTCCGGTTCGGGCCGGGCCACCTGCCCGAGTCACGGGTCGGGCCACCCGCTGGTCCGGTTAAAAACATATATATATTTTTTTATAATTTATACTTTATAGTTTTATAAAAATGTGTATAATTAGAGAGTAGAGAGTAGGATTTTGGAGAAGAGATATGGAAAAATGTTTAAGATTAAGAGTATTTCTAGTTTTTTTTACCCCACCCCCAGACCGCTCGGACCCCCCCCCCCCTCTAGCAAACCCAACGGCTATATAGCCGTTTGGGTAGTCCCCAGTCCACCCCCCAACGGCTACTTGTGGCCCAAACCCATTTTTTTTAAAATTTGGCATTTGATCGTTGGACCCGACCCTGACCCGGGCCCGACTCGGCCGGGTCGGGTCGCACTTTACCTAAACCAAGCCCGCCCCGCCTCCCCCCGGTTCGGGTCTCCACCCGGTCCCGGACCGCCAGACCGGGCCGGTCCCGGGCCCGCACAGTAACGGGCCGGGCCGGGTCACGGGCCGGGTGGCCTGAACCGAGACCAAGCCTACTTACAGGATCATTCCTCTCTATAGAGAGAGGGGCTAACGGCTGGAATCGGAGCTTGAAGTTACCCGGTTGCTTTGGACCTAGTTCCTTACTCCTGAATCGGAATTGGGTTTAACTCTTTATACATGAGTTAGTGAGAAAAAAGTGAATTATTTCCTCTGACGATTACATTGAGAGAAAACTAATATTGCTGGTAGAGTGCAGAGACTGCAGACACAAATATTTTATATATATACTGAAATCCCTTGTGGTTTTTCCATAATTTGCAAATGAGTCAAAGATTTATTACTCACTCCGTCTCTAATAACTTTGCCAAATTTGACCGGCACAAGAAATAATAAAGTAAAAACTGTGTGATTGAGGTTTGTGCAGAGGAGAGAGTATGAACTGGAACCACCAATTCTTTACTTAAAAGAGAGTGACAAAGTTATTGAGACATTCAAAAAAAGAAAGTTGACAAAGTTATAAGGAACGGAAGAAGTATTCTTTAGCTTGGGAATATGATTTATAAAACAAAATAACTTACTGAACTGTTTGTGTTTCTTTGTCATGAAGCAACAGCCAATCAATGCAATTTTTGACGTGATTTTAATCATTGGTCACTTGGAAACGGTCTCTCTGTGCTTTAATACAGAGGTAAGACTACGTATATTCGAACTCTCCTTATCCCACCGTAGGTGAAGCTTTTACGATACTGGGGTGATGATGATGAATGGATGACTGAAATACTTGGTGGTGATAATCTTAGCCAGTAGATTAAGATTCTAAAATTACTTATTCTATACTCGTACAAAACAACTTGTGCAGGAATGCATAGGCAAAATCATTACATGAAATGACCTTTCCTTAACAACAGGGATGAACGTGAGTACGCATCTTTGGGACTGGTACCCTGAACAGGTCCAAACTAGGGATGGACTAAACCGGCCCGGTCCGGCCCGGAACCGGCCCGCTACTGTGCGGGCCCAGACCGGACCGGGACCGGTTGGCCGGTTCCGGGCTTTTAGCCCGTTTGGGCGGGTCAGGCTCGGGCCCAGTTTTTGGCGAACCGGCCCAGGCGGTTCGGGTCAGGCCCGGGTCAATTTTTTTTTTAATTTTTTTCTTTTCCTAGGGTAGGGCTCGGTGTTTTGGGGAGGTTTGGGGGTGGGGGGGGTGAGGGGGGGGGGTCGGGGGATAACAAGAAAACAAAAAAAAAAATTAGACATTGAACTAGGCTCGGCCCGGTTAGGCCCAGACCCGGTATCAACCCGAGCCGGTTCCGGGCCCAAGAATTTGCAAAAAAAGCCTGCACGGGCCCGGCCCGGAACCGGAACCGTACCGGCCCGGGTCCATCCCTAGTCCAAACCAATTCTGGTTCCTCCAAACTAAGACGAGAACCCACCGGGGATTTTTCGATGTTTTACAAGGCTAGTTTTCCAAATGATTTATTTGAATGATTTATTATGTTAAAATATTAACTCTTTAATTTTAAATTGCAAGATTATTGTTTTTCCTTTGTAAATGAAACACTTCAAATTATAAAAATTAATTTCAGTCTTCTGAAATTTTGAACTTATTGTTACATTTTTTGAAATAGCATTCTATGATTTTGTTTATCCTTTATAAAATTAAATCCACTATTTTGTAATCTTGAATTATTTATCGTCATACAACATATTGTAATTTTAGAGTGCAAAGAATGCAAAAAATTAATATTTTTTACATTGCAACACATGTTAACACTTTTTTGAAAGAATCTTAAATACTTCGTATATAGTCATGTTTTGAAACAATATTTTATACTAACAATATAAAATTTTGATATAAAAACAATTAAAGGAAAAATTGCTCACAAGTACATTTTTTTAAAAAATATATTTTAATTTCGAAATTATAATATATTTTTGGTGTTTTTTGAAATTTAATAAGTTATTAACTTAAAGTCAATAAGGGTAAATATGACCTTTATAAGAACATGAAGGGTATTTTTACACATTTTAAAGTTCAGAGGTATATATGCATTTCCACATATACTTTAGGAGTATATTTTTTCCGAAAAATAGAACACAATTATATTCGTTCTCACACCCATAATACGTGACTGTATTTGTACTTTTCCCCTTCTTTAATCTAGTAGCTTCCTACCTTAGTAAATGTCTGAGTTAGAAAAAGTTTCATTTCTCATTAAAAGTATTATTATTAACTTGAAACTGATCAAATTTTACTGAGAGAGAATTTTCTACGAAGTGAAATAGCCATAAATCATCAAGAGATATGCTCAGCCTAACCAAATTTGATGCAAAATTAGCCATCTTATTATGATATTTTAGCATTATCGTACTTTAATGGAATTTTATCAATTCAGGACCCGAAAGATATATTAATTATCAATTCAGGACCCGAAAGATGAAACGTATCAATATAGGACCTGAATGATGGAAAACTATCAATTTAGGACCTAACGTTTCATACATTTTGATTTATTTAATTTTTTATTAATTCCATTACTAATTTTTGATAAACTTTTCTTCACAAAAGTTTATTAGTTTAACAAAACGAAATAATATTTAAAATTTTTTAATAAAAAAAATTATGACAACTTAGGTCCTAGATTAATAATTTTCAATCATTCAAGTCCTAAATTGATAGTTTTTCATCATTCGGGTCCTATATCGATGCATTTTATCTTTCAGGTCCCGAATTGATAATTAATCTATCTTTCGAGTCCTGAATTGATAAAATTCGTAGACATTATTTTAGCTAAAGTATCATGATAAATTTTAAGGATTACAATGATTCATTCACATTTTTTAAATTTTATAATCTTATTACTCATATTTCGAGATGTTTCTTAATTATTTTCATCAATTTCACCCATTTAGCCAAAAAGTTCTTTCCACTTCAATTTTACTCATGGTTAGCCCCATTCAACATGCAAAATCATGAAATTAGTGTTTAACCAAGCATTCCAGCTCGCTGGATGGGAGGTTATCGTGTCTAGTGGATGTTTCGGGTTCGAACAACCTATGCACATCTAGCAGGACAACATGTTAACTGAATCCAGCAAAGTCCTCCCACCATGCGGACTCGATAGACCTGAATTTCAGGACGAATCCGACAGGACAACCTGAATCCAGCAAGGTCCTCCCACCACACGGAGTCGGTAAACATGTGAAACCAATACCGACGAAGACTGACTGTGATCAGATACGGATTTAACTGTCTAGAGGCTTTGGAGAGTAGCGCAAACACGGATAACTGAATTATTAAAAGAAAATGAAATTAGTGTTTTGCAAAAATCATTGCGGATAAACAGAGAAATAAAAAAACTAAAACAATCAATCACATCAAATAATGAGCTGGTATTTGAAATTTTGAGACCATGTTGCATAAATACATAATGAGGCCATGAATGAGTTGAGTAGTGATAATGAGGAGAGTCTTCCCTTTTTGTTTTAACTGAACTAACGAGTTGATACCAAAACAAAGAAACATGTGCTTTAGATCTTTAATTTAAATAAAGAGCGAATCTAACCTGTCTTTAATTAATCAATTTTACGGTATCGTGGTTAAAATATCTAATTTGTTGATAAAGTGAAAGTCAAACCCGTCAGGCCGCCAAAAATTTCCCTCCCCACTCTTTCAAACCCATTGGAGGACAGGACACGTTCGACCCCCCGCCACACTCATTAATTTTACAAAATATTCCTCCCGAATTATTATCCCGTTTGGTTTTTCACACAGATTAAGAAAATAGCACAGTACCGAAACGGTTTAGCACTGCAGCGACATTGTTTGACACTGTAGTGACACTGTTTTGCACTGTTTTGCACTGTTTGGTATAGATTTGTTTACCAAATAAGGATGTTTTAGAAACAGGACGATTATTTCGGGACGGACTGAAAAGGAAAGCGAGACAATAATTTTGGGACGGAGGGAGTATATTGTTAGTATTACCTCCGTCCCGAAATACTTACTCAAATTCAAAACTTTGACCAATTATATATATTTATTGAAAAGTATTTATAATATAAAAATGATATGAAAACGTTCTTCGTTAAAAGTGCTTATAAAAGTATAAAATGTATAACTTTCATACTCTCTCCGTCCCTTAAAACTTTGTCATCTTTCTTTTTTGGGACGTCCCAAAAAACTTTGACACTTTCTTTTTTAATCAATTATTTTGTGGTTTCTATATTTCTCTCTCCTCTGCACAAACCTCAACCACACAGATTTTACTTTATTATTCTCCGTGCCGATCAATTTTGGTAAAGTTTTAATGGACGGAGGTAGTAATATTCTCCTCTCTTCGTCCCGCTAAATTATCTCATTTTACTTTTTCGGTCTGTCCCAATACCCTTACAAATGACGATGTGTATGGGTGTATGAGGTGTGCATATTTGGTGTGTATAACAATAATTTTCCCAAAATATTTGATAATGTGTTGTTGGAAGAATGGAGTAATTGATTTAAGAAGGTAGGTAAAAGAAGTATGAAATTTTAGTCACTCTGATTAATGTATTGTACTAGTATTACTATATACTACAGTATACAATGGTTAGGTACTCCAGCGGGGCGGGAGTAAGTTTTGAATCAATAGGATGTTGAATATACATACCCTGCCCAACCCATTCCAGCCCTATAATTTCCCATTTCCGAAACCCTCCATCGGTTTTCATTTACCCATCACACTAAAAGTCGAAATCCTTCTTTTGGAACCCCACTCCCCGGGCCCCACAAAATGATGGAACGGATCTCGTTTTCTCCATCATCGTCACTCCTTATATAACCACCTTCTTCACCTCACTTTATCCTAACCATAATCGGGTTTCTTTTTCGAAATAGAAACTTTTCTTTGAAAATTTGAAATGCAAATCGGAACAGAACCCAAAATGGGGGGCGTGGATAAGCTCAGTTACGAGATCTTTTCTATTTTGGAGAGCAATTTCCTGTTCGGGTGCGGTGATCGGAAACAGGGGATGGTCGCCGGTAAAGAGAATGTTAAGCCGTTTTCCGGGAGGGATTTCAGCTCCGGGAAGGTGCGGGTTCTTTCCATCGATGATGGTGGGTCCACCGATGGAGTCCTCGCTGCTAAGTCATTGGCGCATTTGGAGGCGATTCTTCGCCGGAAATCTGGGGATCATACAGCGAGTATCGCCGACTTCTTCGACGTTGTCGCCGGCTCTGGCGGTGGTGGAGTTCTTGCCGGTTTGCTTTTCACTCGCGGGAAAACCGGTGGCCGCCCGGTGTTTACTGCTGAGGAAGCGTTGGCGTTTATAGCCAAAAACGGCCGGAGATTCTCACTGTCCTCGCCGACGGGAGTTCTCCGGCGGGTTTTTCGGCAGTCAAACGTGTTTAAGAAGGTTTTCGGCGGGTCAACTCTAAGAGACACAACAAAAGCGGTTTTAATCCCCTGCTACGACCTCACTACGGGAGCCCCGTTCTTATTTTCCCGTGCCGATGCTCTGAAAATGGACGGCTGCGATTTCAGGATGGCGGACGTGTGTGGCGCCACCGTGGCAGATCGAGAGGTCGAGATTAAGTCAGTCGATGGAAAGAAGAGAATCACAGCCGTCGGCGGGGGTGTGACGATGAACAATCCAACGGCAGCCGCCATCACTCACGTCCTGAACAACAAGCACGACTTCCCGCTCTGCAATGGAGTGGAAGATCTGCTGGTGGTGTCATTGGGAAATGGCGAGTCAGATCCCGGCACCGGAAATATCTTGGCTTCGCCGGCCTCATTCGTCACGATAGCCGGTGACGGAGCTGCCGACATGGTACGTTCCTTCTTAAGATTCATCAGGGGTGCCGATATCGATTTCGGTTTGATTATTATGTGTTTCGGGTCGATTTAGTTTGGAACGGTTTAGAAGGATGATCACCAAACAAAAATCATACGGAGTTGTTCGGCGATCATTTGTTTAATTTGTTCCAAACTGAACTGAATTGAACCGAACTAAAACTCGAATAAAACGAGAGAAGCTTAGGTTTTATTATATGAAGGTTTATTGATTTTTTTTTCCGATGAAGTTTAACACCAGTGGCGGAAGTAGCTAGGGGCTTGGAGGTGCACCGGCCTGTACAGAATTTTTTATTTATTTATAATATACTCCCTCCGTCCCGAATTGAATTGCAAACTTTGACCGATACAAGGATTAACAAATGACAATAAATGATGCTTGTTTTTTACACTTTTGCTCATCTTTCTAAAAGTAGATGTCTTTAAGTTAATGGAGAAAAAGTAAAAGTAAGGGTAAATTTGTCAGTTTATTCTTATTTACATATCTAAAATAGAAAGTGGAAAACCATTTTGGAACAACCAAAATAGGAAATTTTGCAAATCAAATTGGGACGGAGGGAGTATATAAATATACACAAATCTTCATGTCCAGAATTTCGGATGGGAACCTGCCATCCGCACGGCAGCGTTTTGGCTTCTTCTCAAGTCTAGTTTATCCACAAAAATATTCAACAAAAAATTCAACCAGGAAGGTCTTCAAATGATTTTTGGAAGTTAACTGCGTTTTATATGTATATTTTGGGTGCACTTATCTTCCAAAAATCATTTGACGGTTTTCCCGATTGAATTTTTAACTGAACTTTTTTGTGAATAAACTAAATTTGATGAAGACCATGCCATAAAAATTGCCTCAAAATATTCCACCGGGAAGGGCCCCAAGAGCCGCCGTCCAGACGCCGGTTTCGGTAAGGAATTCTTGATTAGAAGAGTACTATTTTTTAGTACTATATATATATATATATATATATATATATATATAGGGAGCGGTTCCGGTAAGAACGGATCTTAGGAGAGAAATGAGAACGAATCTGGACCGTTGGATAAAATTATGTGGAACTGAATTGTGCATTTGGTGAAACCAAAATGTGCATTAGATGATATTGAAATGTGCAAAATTAAAATTTAAACTCACATGTGCATTAGGTGAAACTGAAATGCGCAGAATAAAAGGTACAAAAATAACATCACATCGTACCTTTTATTCTGCACATTTTAGTTTAATCTAGTGCACATTTCAAATTCGCCTAATGCACAATTTAGCTTCACATAATGCCACTACATTGTAACATTTGTGCTGCACATTTCAATTTCACCTAATACACATTACAGCTTCATCTAATGCACATTGAATTTCACATAAAGTAAATCTAACGGTCCAGATTCATTCTCATTTTTCTCATTAGATCATGTTCTTATTTGAACCAAAACCTATATATATATATATATATATATATATATATATATATATATATATATATATAGAGAGAGAGAGAGAGAGAGAGAGAGAGAGAGAGAGAGTCATTCTACTATCCAGCAGTTTTCTGTCCGAACACCGTCCGAACACCGCCGTTTGGGGTGGTTCCCGGAGGAATTTTTTGATGAAATTTTTTGAGCATGTTCCTCATCAAGTCTAGTTTATCCATACCAAATTTCAGCTCAAAATTCGATCAGGAAGGCAGTCAAATAATTCGATGAAGTTAACTGCGCCAAATTATACATAGAAAAACGCAGTTAACTTCAACGAATTATTTGACTGTTTTCCTGATCGAATTTTGAGCTGAAATTTTATATGAATAAACTACACTTGATGAGGAATATGCTAAAAAAATTTATCAAAATATTCCACCGGGAACCGCCCCTAATGGCGGTGTTCGGACGGCGTTCGGACCGGGAGGTGTTGGACCTGAGAACTTTCCTATATATATATTAAGTTTAATTAACCAGACCCTGCAGCAGTGCAGCCTAAATTATTTCGTGATATATATGATTTCTTTGTTAATGACTCCTGCAAGTCACGAGTCCTGATTCCACCACTGTTTAACACGATTTCGAATAAATTCAACCAAACTCAAATAAAATACTCTGTAGTATATTGTTCAATTTCAGTTCGGTGTAGTTCGATTTAGTACGATTCGGTTAAACTAAACCGTTAATGTCCACCTCTGATATTTACTCTCGTCCCAGCATAACTCACCTAGTAGAAAGATTTAAGCTAAAATCCCATGTATTTTCACTCCGACAACTCCGACAAAGCTCAACTTACCTTCTCTCCGACAACTCAATTTACATCGTCCTCTTAACAGTTCGACCAGTTCTCGGGTCGGAACCGGAAAAAATTGTTGTTTCAATGGAATTTAATTAATGTGGGGATTCATAATTGTTTATAGGTGGATCAAGCACTGTCACTAGCATTTGGACAAGCAAAGAGCAAGACGAACTACATACGGATTCAAGGCCATGGGAGCTTCGGCAAGAGGCTCCAAAGGTTACACAGTAGCCATGACCGGAAAACAGCGGCGGCGGCGGCGGGAAGTACTGATATTGCAGAAGAGATGCTGAGGCAAAAGAACGTGGAATCTGTGCTGTTCCGAGGGAAGAAGCTGGCCGCAACAACAAATTTGGAGAAATTGGAAGGCGTGGCTGATGAATTGATCAAGGAGCAGGAGAGGAGAAAGTCCGGCGCCGTTTACGCGGTGCCGTTTGTGAATCATTTTTCGCCGTCTCCCAGAATATCCTCCTCCGCAGCCACACTAACCCCCATTTCATTGAGTTAATTTGTTAACTTAGATGGACACATACACATAAATATTACTCCATATAGTGCACTATCTTTTTTCATATCGGTCTTATATAGTAGTTATATGCTACGTATAAAAATACAAATGTCTTACATATTTATGTTCGTTCTTATAAGGGGCCGGTCACTCAGGACCCGTCATCCGCCCAAACCCGTTTGAAAGGCTTTCGAGTCGAAAATTTTGATAAAAGTTTTAAACATGCTCTTCATCAAGTCTAGATTATCTCCAAAACAATTCAGCTGAAAACTCAATCGAAAAGTCAATTAAATAAACTATAGGAAAACTGACAAATGGGTCCACATACTTTTAACAAAAAATCAATTGAGATCAGGTACGTCTTTCCGAGTCAATCAAGTCCGCCAAGTATAGAAAATGACCAAATCAGCTATTTAATAGGTAGTCAATCGGTTATCCGGTTAACCGCCTACGTAAACGTCAATTTGGCATTGTTTTACTGTTTTTTTTTTCCTTTTTCTTTTCCTTTTTCTTTTTCCTTTCTGTCTTTTCTCTCTTTCTTCTTTCTTTCTGGTCGTCCGCTTTTCTTCTGCGTCTGCAGCTCCGCCCATCTCCTCGTTCCCTTCCTTCGTCTACAACTACAGATCTATGGAGCAGGCGGCATCTATGGAGTCTGGTTGGTTGGAGGTCGTTCCAACGGAAGAGGTGGAGGTGGAGACCGTGGATGTGGAAGCCGAAAGTTGTGGGTACGATGGTCGGGGCTCAGGGTGGTGGCCATGGAAGTCGGCGCTGTCGGAGGTTGCTTCAATGGAGGAGGTGAAGGGGAAGGCCACAAATGTGGTTGCCAGAGGCGGTGGCTACGGAGGCTAGGCAGAGGTGGTGGTGGCTAGAGAGGCCGGGGCAGCGGAGTTTGTTCGGGAGTACGTGGTGGAGTAAGCGGAGTAATGCTGGAGGGCAGGGACTGCGAGACTCGGAAAGGAGAAGAGGATTGCCGCATTGGGAAAGGAGGAGAAGCGTGGACCAAGAAGAAAGAAGAAAGAGAAAAAAAATCCCGAAACACGAGTAAAAAAGTAAGAAAATTCTAGAAATATATAGGGTTGTCATGTTTTTATTCTCAAAACAGGAGTAATTACTACCAAGTTTGGAAAATATTGTCATGTTTAAAGTCCGGTACTGTCAAACCATGGCAGTACTAGTCTTATTTTGAAAATAAAAACATGATAATCCTATTTTGGAATATACAAACGTTTTTGTCCAATTTAGGGTAATTTCCCCCCAAAAACGAAGAGAGAACCGACAAAGAAAAAGGAAAGAAAAAGGAAAGGAAAAGAAAAATAAAAAATTCGAAAATAGTAAAAAAAAATGCCAACTCAGAGGTCTACGTAGGCATTTACCCGAGTAACCGGTTGACTACCTATTAAAAAACCGATTTGGTCATTGTTTGATAGTTAACGGATTTGATTGACTCAAAAAAAGTACATGTACTCAATTGACTTTTTGTTAAGTATGTGACATTATTGACAGTCTTCTCAATAAATTTCATTAACAAATCCCACCGGGAAGGATCTAAAATGGCCTTGGCCAAAGATGGATCCTATCGGGCCAGCCTAACAAGATCATTCCTTTGAGTATAGTATCCGTACACTATCCATTGATTTTTCCTTAAATATTACTTATAAATATATCATGACAAAAATGTGACTCGATAATTATTAGTGATTATATTTGTGTTCAAAATTTAAATTATAGTCACTAAGAATTACTAAATCACATTTTTGTCCCTTACGTTTTCACTCATATTATATTATTTTTCATTTTTATTTTTTTCTGCCAAACTGAACCCCATTTATTTAGTTTTTGTGTATTCAATTTTAAGTTTTTACAATTTATTCTATCGGCATTAATCTTTTTATTTTTTCTCCTTAGTAAAAAAAGAAGATAAAATTTGTAATCATTTCTGAAAATTGGTAGGCTTATGCATAACGTATTTCTTCCATTAAGATAACCATGAATTCTCTCACTATCCATCTACCTTTAGAAGAATAAAAGTTGTACTTTTCATAATTAAACTTATTATTTTGACTAAATATCAAATTGATTGATTTTATTTCTTTACCCACAAAATTTAGGTGACCCGATAAAGTGTCGACAATGCATCTAATTTGGCAATATAAATGTTAAATATGCCCCTCGACCTAATCGTGTTGTTCAACCCACACTTTAAATCATAAAAAAGTGTCAACAATACAAAAATTAAAAATACAAAATAGAAATTATAAATATAAAATACAAGTAAAAGATATAAACACTATGTAATCAAGCATTCCAACCCAGCTGGTTGTGAGGTTAACATGCTTAGTGGGAGGTCTCGAGTTCGAATCCCGCTAGGCACATATGGGTTTGAAACTCAATGGAGTGAGTTTCAGCCCTGATTACTCCAGGCCCCCTCCCTCAGACCCCATGGAATATATATAGATTAGAGATCAAATACAAACTAGGCTTAATTTACTAACCTACAAACTAATCATGACCGTTCATTTAGATTAGATTAACGTGCGTTTCATTTAAGTTGTTCACAACCAACTAATCAAAATTGAGGGTGTTTTGGTCAATTACTCAACTTTATAATGGAACAAAAATCAGGCTCGTTACTTTCCATTCCCATAGCCGCCTACTTTCCATTCTTCTTTCTTTCCACCATTCCATCGATCATGGTGTTCATCTGTGCGCTTGTCTTCCTCATCTAGATTATGAATTGTTTCAGTTAATGATCTCTCATCATTATCATCGAACACTATGGAATCAGATATTCATATATCTTTGATAAACTTTGTTTTCATACAAAGAACTTCAGATGTATTATTCCTTGTGGCTGTTTGTGTTTCCTGATCGTGCATTTTAAATTTAATTGATTCGCATAACAGGTTGATGTTATCGTGTGTCTTCTTGCAAACAAATTTCATAATTAAACGTTGATAAGGTTACCTCCCTTCACTTCTTAGGTTTGTTTTTCTTGTGTTTATTGAATTGTATATAAATAAGGAATGAAATTGAACTGCATCATCATTAACGTGAAGGGAGAACATAATTATTTTAATATTTGTTGAAATTTATCTTTGTAATTCATCTTTGTCTCCTGCAAGGTATAAACTATGTATTATGCATTTGTTTTGGTTTTATGGTGCATTTAGTGAAATAAGATTTCAGTGTTGTTTAATATTGTTTTATTTCATGTTTAATATTATTCATTGTTTGTTGTTTATATAGATTTGAATTGTGCTTTACAAATTTCTCATGGGGCTCAAAGTACTAGATCCTTGAATGTTCACCCGAAAAGAAACCGGTTGTTGGGATGATATTTCCTAATCTAGATGCTGACTTGAATCTTTACAAAGACTATGCAGCTGAATTTGTGTTTACTATTTGTCATCATACATCAAAGTAGGCCGGAGATGGTCATATATTCTTGAAGTATATTGTATGCAGTTTCTGAAGTTTGCCCGGAAAATAGTTAATGAGTGTCTAATAAGATTGAATGTAAAACTCTTTTAACTCTGAAATGATAAGATGCACATCATATAACCTTAATATGCATATCACAAAATGATAAGATGCACAATATTAACTTCTAAAATGCACATGTCATAATGATAAAATGCAACCTATGAAATGAAAATACAGACGTCATAACAATGAAATATAGTATGAACTATTGAAGTGCACATATCATCTTACTACAGTGCAATATTCGAACTTCTGAAATACACATGTCATGATGATAAAATGCAACATATGAACTACTAAAATGCAACGTCGGCATATGTTATAAGTATGCACTTCTAATATATGTTTTGTGGATACTATGAGTGTATAATGCAGATCTTGTATTCTCAATATGCATATCACGTGACATTAATATGCACATCATATAAACTTAATATGCATATCACAAAATGATAAGATGCATGATATGAATTCCTAAAATGCACATGTCATAATGATAAAATGCGCGCAACATATGAACTCAAAAATGCAGACGCCGTAACGATGAAATGCAGTATGAACTATTAAAGTGCACATGTCATCTTACTACACTGCAATATAAGAACTTCTGAAATGCACATGTCATGATGATAACATGCAACATATGAACTATTAAAATGCAACGATGACATATTTTATAACTATGTACTTCTAATATAAGTTATGTAGATATTATGAGTGTATAATGCACATCTTGTATGCTTAATATGCATATCACGTGACATTAATATGCACATCACATAACCTTAATATGCATATCATATAACATTATTATGCACATGAAATAAATATGTTGTGCTTCAATTAATTTATGTTGAACTATTGACTTCTACAATCAAGAGCTCTACGTCTTACCATATTTAGGTTTAAAAAACGAATAATTATTTATTATAAAGTGTTTCATTTTGTAAATTAAAAGAGCATCTCCAACGCTATAATGTGCACGACGCGCATGTGCCATGAGAGAGATATACACATAAAAAAATGGAGAGAAATGTGAATGATTTATTTTACTGTTTCTATCTCTCTCATGCCAAAAATGAAGAGAAATGGTAAAATGCATAAAAAATGGTAACTTTCTTCATAATGGAAGGCTTCCTTTTTGTATTATGATACATGGATGCAATTTGTGCAATTTAAAGATCTCCAACTCACCTTTTTTATTATTAAAAAATGGAAGGTCAATCATGAAGTAATTCAAAAATGGGAAGTTAGTTACTTGGACACGGAATTAAATGAGATGTGGCTAAACTTCAATGATTGCATAATTCAAACTTACCAAAATAAAAACACGCACGCTGCTACTACAGTAAATCAAATGACTCATATACCCCCTTTTAAATTCATTAACCGATTAAAAATTGCTTCCAAATTTTATTCCATGCGTGTGAGTGAAAGAGTTTAATGATGCATCTCATATGGAAGGCCGTCCGTTTTTCTAATCCAATGGATGGTATTGGTTTGTAGTTTGCACCGGAAGCCTAGTTTGTATGGGATCTTCCCCCTATATATATATATATATATATATATATATATATATATATATACACACACATATATATATATATATATATACACACATATATATATATACATATATACACACATGTACACATATGTAT